TCACGACTTAACAACTGAACAACTAGGATGTGTGCAAATTTTAAAAAATTACTATAGATTGATGCTTGCTCCAGTTAATGTGCAAACTTTATGAAAACTCTAGATTAAAAGTTTGACATAGAAAATTACATCTGAGAAATTCCTATCTGTAAAATTAGGCATCCTCTCCTCTTTCTTACTGAGTTCATATATTAATTATGATGGGACTAGGCGAAATAACCTGGCACAGCGTCCTCCAGTAAACACAACGTGATACTCTTGTGCATGGATATGGAAGTACTGTTATTGCATGGTCTGGCCACATATTGTAACGAGGAAGTGCTTGTTTTCAGGAATTCTTGTGTTGCTGGCTAATTTGCAGGATGGATCCTAAACTCCAAAGCAGGAGTACATTCAAAATGGTGCCAGGACTGAAATAAACTGGGTCCCGTTTATTAAAATTACTTACAGCACCAGGGGCCCTCCCCCGATCTGCCACGGTGAGCCTGAGCGCTGGGAATGGTCTCCAGCATTTGACACATAAAGGGGTTGCTTTCGTTGGGGAAGTTTACAACCCGCCAACCTCTCTCCCCCCCTCCACTCCAGGAGCTGCTTAGTTTAGGCATCAGCAAGGGAAGGCTCCATATTAATGAGGATGAAGCATTTAGCAGGCGCTCCAACAACAGAGGGGAAAAACGGCCTCATTGGAGCTAGAGCAGGAAGTTTGTTACCTCGCAGCTCACAGAGTAAATAGGAAGAGATCGCTGGTCTAAGCAGCTTCTCTTTCGGGTGTTAATTAAAAATGCAGGACAATCGTAGGACAGTGCTAACTGTCCTAACTAAGTTATTCTAAAACTAAAATCTTGGTATTTGCTAAACAGCCCAGAGTCCATGCCTATCAGTTAAGTGAACAGCTGATTGAACAAGTTTAATTCTTTGAATATTTGGGGACAGTGTTTTGCTTTGCTGGAAAGTTTGGAGGCTTACTGAGATTATGTTGCTCAAAATGCCCCAAAATCATCAATGGGCCTGTGATCTTTTTATTGCTCTGGAGGGGCATTATTTATACCTGAAAAGTACTGTAGCAAAAGTTTGTGCACAGCTTTTACCTGGTGCCCATTTAAGCCCTGTTGGAAAGAGTTCAGCGTCAGTTTCTCAAGGGCGTTGTTGCTGACCAAAGCACCTGCAGGGGAGGGGAGGGGAGGGGAGAGGGGACGAATTTCAAACCACGCCAGGATGACTGTAACTAACACAGATGTATTAATTAAGCCAGGAACTTACATTGGAGAGAGCCTCCCCACCCCACCCCCGCGCATCAGCTGCAGTGAGCAAAACGAGTGAGGAAGGTTTGCCCTGTCCTTCCCATAAGGGCTGCCTTTGTTGGGCATATTTTATCCCCCCCACCCCCGCCCAGGAAAATAAGTCAGGAAACAGCTGCAGGGTTCAGGCACCAGCAAGGGCAGGCGGCCCCCTAGCCAGGGTGAGCTCGATGGCCAAGCGCCCAGCGGACCCTGGGGACCCAGTTCAGGCAGAAGTGGAAAATGACCGTCCGACTGGGGCAGATGGTTGCAGGAAGAGCTCGGTGGCTGAAGCGAGCCCCTGGGCGCTGACCGAGAGTCGCGACGCTTGCCGGACGCGGCCCTATGCGCGAATCCAGCATCCGAAAGGACCGCTCGCCCAGGGGGCCTCGCTGCCCCGGTCCTGGCTGATGACCCTGGGGAGAACGCGGAGGCCGAGCCAAAAGACCCCCGCCCCCAAGTTGCCAGGGAAGCTCAAACGGTCGGCTCCGCCGTAAAACCCGTCGAGAGCCAAGGAGCGCGGCCGAGCCGGGCAGACGCCGCGCGCGCCAGGACGCAGCCCTCTTCCTGCTCCCCATCCCCGTGACGCATCGTTCCCCCGTGCGCGCGTGACGGGCAGCACCCAACGGAAGGCCCAGCTCCCCTGTCCGATCCAGGACTCGGCCAGTTCGCGTAAGGCCGCGGAGAGGAGCCGCGACCCCTGCCCGCCCGAGGCCGGCCTTTGCCTCTGGCGCCCTCGATGTGTCCCGGGCTCCAGCTCAAACGCGCCCCCGGGAAATTTCCCTAGAGCTCCACTCGGAGAGGGCTGGTGCCTCGGGAACTGCAGCGTGCAGCGTCCTAGCCTTTCACGGGAGCACCACCGACGGGTTCGGGCTAAAAACGGGCGGCAGCGAGCCTTCCACAACGCATTACGGATGCGCAAAAGCCGTTTGCGGGCTCTCCTTACAAACATTTTCGGACTAGCCGGTCTTCTTTTTTTGCACATTTACAAATATATTTATATTTATTTAAATTACTTACACGGCCACCTGTCTCACTGCAGCGACCACTGA